GCCCACCTCCGCCGGGAGCGAGCGCCGCGGCTGTGCGGAAAAGCCATGGGAGGCAAGACCTCGGCACCTGTTCAGCTGAAATCAAGGGCTTACAGTATACTGGGCGGTCTGGCTTGGTGGTAGGAGCGAGCGAAAGGAAGGAGAAGCAAGCGAGAAAAAGTGAGAGAGGATTGGAGCGACTGCCGCTGCCGGGAAAAAAAAAAATAAAAACCCAAGGAAGATAACTGGGAAGGAAAAGGATTTTCATGGCGCAGGCTGCAGAGCTAAGCAAGAAGACTGAAGGTTGCATCTCTGCTCTTACAGTCTCTAACTGTCTAGGTCCAGATAATGAGAGATTGTGTTGAGGATGCTGCTGCTGCTCCCCTGTTCACTGTGGAAGCCATCTCCAAATTAGCCATTACATATGGAAACTGGAGACCAGAATTTTAGAAAAAGGGATTAAGGCGTCTCGTTTTGGGGGGGGTTCTCTCTTTATTTGTTTGGTTTTTCTTGGTTCTTTTCTCTCTTTTTTTTTTCTTTTTCCTTTTTCCTTTTTTTATATTTCAACCAGAACGTTTCCGATTTAAAAGGCAAGCCTCTTCCCATGTGGTCTTTCTAATTTACACTCTTTTCCGTGGGCTTTCTTACCTCCCTTTTTTGATATCTATCTCTCTATATATATCCATTATATTATTAGTCGGAATTATTATTCTTTTATTTTATTAAACACACACACCCCAAGAATCAGAAGGCGGTTGGGTATTTGTATAATGAAGAATTATGGGGCTCTTTGACAGAGGTGTTCAGATGCTTTTAACCACCGTTGGTGCTTTCGCTGCCTTCAGCCTGATGACCATAGCTGTGGGGACCGACTACTGGCTTTACTCCAGAGGGGTTTGCAAGACTAAAACTGTCAGTGAGAACGAAACCAGCAAAAAGAACGAGGAAGTCATGACCCATTCTGGATTATGGAGAACCTGCTGCCTGGAAGGTATTTGATTCTGGATCTCCACACACCCCCCCTTTCCTCTCCCACCACCCCATGTTTCTCCCCCCCTCCAAATAAATCCCTCCACATTCCACCATTTTCTCACTTCATTCCTTTCACCACGGATCGAGACCGGTGGGCTCAGTTACTCAGGGCACAGAGGCAAGAAGACAGGCAAAACATTCTGTGCTCCGTTCCCTTATCCCTTCCTCTTCCCCACCCTCCTCCCC